TATCGTTCAAAAATATTGAATCTTATTATTATCCGTACAATTCGTTCGTCAACATGTAAAAATTTAAGATTCTGAGCGGGATAATAAAAGTAGAATTGGTTTTACAATAAGCTTTTTATTAATTTTTTATAACAATTGGTAATATTTTAAATCACGTTAATCCCACAAGTAATTTCAACTTTTATAAAGAAAGCAAACAAGATTATACACATGAACAAACATAGTTTTATTATAAAAATACTATGATATATTACTCTCGAAATACATCTCTCTAGTAATATAAAAATATAATGATTATATATGGTATAATATTTTTTTCTTATATCTTAAAAATAATTTTTTTGTACAGTTTAATATATATCACTTCAAAATTATAATAGTGCTATAAAAACAATATAATTAAATAATTTGGATCTATAAGGGGTTTATCAGGGTATCTTATTCCAAATAATTTACAATGAAAACTTATTGACAACAACTGTGGCTGGTATTAATGTTTACATATAAATAACTATGTTACTAAAACCTTGAACCTGGTCAAATTGTCTGAGAAATGTGTACTTTATAATAATAAAATTTAATTAAAGACACAAACATTTATTCTTCAAAAGGTGGTTTTATTATATATTTTCCTATTACAGTGGACTCAGATGTTTGAGTTTTTGGTTCATATAACTTGTAACTTTAATTTATATGTTTAAGTTCTTTTACTCTCAACACAAATTTAATTTCAAAATTAAATACATATAAATTAACGAATGAACTATATTTGACAATATTTTAAGCTGAGGACTTTTTTGTAAAGTTTTAGCTATCCAATAAAATATAATCAAACATTTATTTCATATTTAATATATTTAAAAATCGTATTAAAATCATATGGCTCATTCAAACTAATATATAAATTATATTTATCACCTAATATTTCCACTACTCCTAAAATCATATTGGCCGTATTGAAATTTCCATTGTACGATGGAAAAATGTGCAGTTGCAATTTACATAGAATATGTAGCAACGCTCAATCAACTACTTTATAGTCATAAATTACTCAATGCTCGAAGTGCATAATTATATTTAAACACACTGCCGGTAAAATTTCCACGCTCACATTATGTAAATTAAGTGTCTTTGAAAAGTTTGTGTTTACCGACTCATCATAAGCTATAAGGTTTGTAAATTTCCATATATAACTTACATTATAACAAACTATTATTTATTTCAACATCAAAATTAATTTACATTTATGTGGATATGTTTGTATTTTATGCAGAATCTATAAAAATATTTTATCACTAGGATGAAATATATTAAGATATTTCACCATTATTTATTAGCAGCGTGCTAAAATGTTTTCAGTATCCCAAACATAAATGTGGCTGTTAAAATAAAATATAATGACGAAGCTGTTTGAGTTTATACTGAACGAAACGATATTATTAGGTTGACAGTCTTATAATATTATAGGTTATTCAAATAATGTTAAAATTACTATTCAATTTAATCAAATAATACGAGCTAAACGTTAAAATAAGTATTTCGATGTAGTTCACGCGAACATCAAACGTATTAATTCTTGTGTTCCAAAACGAACAATCATTTTGACAGTAGAACTAGTAGGCGTTTGTGTGTTTAAGTCGGTTTGAAATACTTAACGAGAAAAAAAACGAAATAAACAAATAAAAATAAATTTATAGTTGAGCAAATACACAATGAACAAAGTCAAGGTTAGATTTCTGCCAAGGCCGTTTCTATGGCGAGGTGAAAGAGGTTCTCGTAGAAGTGGATTTTTATCAAGGATCCTATGTCGTGACGACTGACGGGGTATTTTCCGTGCCGGGTGGTACAACAACCAGCGTTGTATGTACAACAATGTATAGTAGTCATAGCAACGACTATGGCCAAAACATTTTTGCCCAGGGCTGTCCACGAGAAAGAAAGAGAAAAATAGAGACTATAACGATGGCGATGAAGACTCGGTATAATCACACAAAGTTGTGTTTCAGTTCGTTCGTTTACTAATAGTACAGGGAGGGAAGTGATACTTAACGAAAGGTATATATTGCGTGAATAACCTGTAACTCCGCTGCACTGTAAAACTTCAAAATAATCGGTTGTTATTAAGTTTTTTTTTTTTTTAAATCATACGTGCGTGTAAAATAATTAACTTCTTGATAAAAATTGATATATTATTATTAAAATTCTAATATGGAGAATATAATGTAAGGTATAAGTGATAAAACGATAATCACGAGACACTTTTATAGATTTCATAAAAAATAAATTTATGTTTATGCTTATTTAATGATTATGGCTTTAAGCTTAATCCCATTTATATAACAATATAGAGCACTACGAACATTGAGTGTTATAGCATTTATTATCGACAGCCACGTTATAGATGGTACATCATATTTGTACCAACAATTAAGGCAAGATAAACTATATAAATCATTCGAAAAACTAACTTAATCAGCACATCACATATTTTAAGAAAAAGAACATTGTTATCGACCGAAAAAATATTATCGCCAAATTCAGACAATTTTTTTTTAAATAACTAATTTGAAGTGCTTGATTGTTAACAAATTATCAGAAAAAATAGGCATGAAAAAATTTAACAAACCATTACATAACATAGATTACAAACAACGAAATTGATTCATAATTACTTTATAACTGATTTCCAATTGAAAATAAGTGATAATATTGTTTATTAAAGGACAAGTTTTGATTTTAACGACATGAATGTGATTGTCACGCTACAGAAATATACATTTATACTCTACAGCATTTACTTAATTTTTGTTACATAATATTAAACAATCTGTGTTCATAAAATAATGCAAAAATTATTAAAAACAACTAAGATTACACTACAATATATAAATTGTCAAAATTTCATATTAATCAAGGAAAATAATTAATTATATTTGAATAAGACGTTAAAGTTAAATGAAACACAATTTATGCTCATTTAGCAATAAATATTAGTGTCAACAATTAACGTGCTAATTCAATAACTTCAATGCCCTAATTATTATAACTTATTATATTAATAAATGTTTATATGATTTTAAGTTTGAATTAAAATAATATAATAAAGGATCCTCCTTGTATAATATATTAACACTATAACAAAATCATTTAATAATATTATTAGACGTCGAGTAATTGTACGAATAAATCAGTTTTTATTGTACAGTTTTAAAAAATATAATATTAAATTCAAAAAATAACTAAATAATATAAAATTACATACTTATAAACTTCATTTATAATTTGCAAGTGTACAAAAAAAAAAAATTAGGTTTTTAGCTTAATAAATCAAATGAACCTCTATTTATACATTTTAAAACTTCTTATATTTGGTCTTGGTTATCAAATTTATTAAACAATGTACTAAGTTAAAACAAAAATAAAAAATATATATGGAGTACAACACGTATTTGAATTTAAAAGCTAAAAAATATTTAAAAAAAGGTTAGTCTATTGAACACAGCATAATATATAAAATTTCCAATCTACAGAAATACCTTATAAAATTGTTTGATCTTTTTATTTTTTTCAAAAAGAAAATACGAGTATTAGCATTATAAAAGCAATTGCGCCGTCAGGATGTTCAGAATCCAAAATTTTGATCTAAAAATTATTTTTAATCTTTTAGCATATTGTTATACATATACGTTTTATGTCATGAATACACTTTAAATAAAGAATTTAATTTTAATCTGATTAATTAAAACATTGTGTATGAGATTTGTTCATCAATAGATCAGTTATTCAATGTTCTTTATATGTTTTTCAGTACCTGCACGATCTTATGGTCGTATAGAATAGCCGTATAAATAATACCATTGGTAAAATAATACGTAATAATATTTTTTATTTGTATGGACTTCTGCAATTGCCAAAATTTAAAACACTAAACCGTTATAGGGCATATAGTGCACATAGGTAACACAAAAACCATAACTGTATAAACTACAATACATCCTCCGTGTGGTGCCGGATGTAACCACTCCTATATCATAAGTCTGTACTGGAAAATTGCCAATAACATAGTTTGGTTACACGTCTCGAATATATATTTACAATATCAACCCACACACGTGCGGTTCTCATGCGGCTACATTTGTTTTGATGGTATAAAACAACGTTCCAATAACGCTTTATAATATAGATAATAGAATAATTATATTGACAAACCTATATTACGTTTATGTAATGCATATATACATTATAAATATATACATATATGTATAATTTATTGTTTATAAATTAATTGAAAATTAATTCTAGGCCAACCTATAAATATACAGGTACCTAATCGAGAAATCCTTTGAATGAAAGTTTGGAATTTAGTAAACTTTTATCAGTAGTTTAATAGCATTAGCCCAAGTAATATTATTTTGAATATGCATGTAAAAGCACTTCCGAATCATTTAGCGAACGCTCAATGATGTACAATGATAAATGGCTGTGGACTCATACACTCGATAAAATGATAATGAAAAATAAAATAAAGTGTTCACTTTATACACATTAAATGACCCTTAACGCTTGAAATGCATAATAACGGTATGATTTATTTATTATGTCATTTAATTTTACTTTATTACATCAAATTACAATATTTTCATCAATCTTTAAAAATTAATCCAAAAAAACTCTAAATATTAGAAAAATTGTACAGCTTGATAACTTTTGCAATAATACATTTATTATACACCTAAAGTTCTTAATATTTATAATCTTGAAATTGAGTTTTTGATACATTCATATTATTCTAGAATAAGAATAATTATAATTAACTCAATAACAGTATCATTGAATAATAAATACATATAGTTTGAAACTGATTTAATATTAACAAAATATTAATCCAATACAAAAAATAAATTTAAAATGTGCTTATACATTAAATACAACATAAAGTATAATAGTATAAGTATAAATAAATCAACATAAATAAATATTTATATTTTTTTTTTTTTCAGAAATGGAAAAATTATCATGTTATGGATAACAGTAATAACCGATTCAGTCATTTTGTATCAACGAATGAATTCTTCGTAATATGACTAGTAAAAACATATTTTTAATTATTATTGTAGCTTTTTACAAACAAACATTCTACAATAATTCCTGAAATAATTGGCTAAAAATTAATTCCGAGTTGATCTATTAAATAATATTTTAACCACTAGTAATAACATCAAAATTTTACCACAAAAAAAATAAATTCAAACATTTTCATACAAAATATTTTTAGCGTATTTTAAATATTACAAACCGGCAAACATATTTGTACATTTCTACAATTAATTAATTAGGTTAACCTTCAACGTCAAAAGAAGCGTTAGGTTAAACAATAAATACATCATGTTTTATTTTCTATACAGTAGCTCTAAGTGTAAACTATTAACAAGTGTTTGTTTTTAGAGAGGTAACTTCAAATAGTAATAATAATAATACCAAACTCATAAAATCATAAAGCAAAAAGATTGATGTTTTTAGAAACTGTAGTGATTTTTGTACAGTACACTTCACCTGTTACTATACGTACTAATTATTTAACGACATAGCACGATTCTGGTTGGTTTGAGGTGGTTGTGAGAAGAAAGATAGGTAAATAGAACACTTGTATTTGTTGAAGTATGAAAAAGTTATAATAATTTATTAGTACTACGTAAAAACAATAAATAAATAAAATAATAACTAACTTCTATGTAAAAATTATTAGTACTAGGTATGACTGAGTACTCGCGGCGATGTGATTGTGACAAAGTCCATGACGAACAAAAGGGTGAAGCCAGTCTAGCACTGTGACTACTTTCTGACCAATGGCCAAATGCTCCATCCGTATTTATATAGGTTCTATCAATAACATTTAATGGTGTAATGGCATATACTTAATTATGTAAATCAATAAAAACAACTTGTTGTTTCCACATTTGACATATTAAGCTTATTATGCTATTTGTATTATATGTATTTTAGGTAGTGCACTTGCGCCAAATACTGTTTATTAATGCCTACTTTATGTACAACATAAATTATATCACTTCTATCTTTATCATACATATTACACTTAAAAACTATTATTTTGGTTTTTAGGATTACTAATCATGGAAATGTCAGTTATTATATTTCAAAATATCAATAAGATTTGTTTTGATAAATTATTTTGTTTAACTAAAAATAGAAGAAAACAATTATTGAAAATAATAATACACGTGAATACAATATAATATATTTATTATCAGATAAAATAATATTGAAAACAAAGAAATTGTTTTGATAGCATTTTAATTTTAATTGAAAGTTTTTTAAAAACTTACCAAAGAAAATTATAACTTAATCTTAATAAAACTATATTAGATGTGAACTCAAGATTAAAATTTGAAAATTTATGAGACTATGTTTTAATAAATTGCATAATATTAAATTTCAAAATGTTTATTATTTATTGTATCTGATAACAAGACACTCATGATATATTAATATACTTATTATTAATTATTATAATTTGATTCGTAGCCTCTAGTATTTAAATTCACACATTTTCCGCGTCGACTATTAAACCACATTAAAAATTAAATATAAATAAATCCATATCATATTATATAGTACTTATTTAAGTATATTAAACTGTTTTTTTTTTTTTTTGCGTAATCGATCAAATTGCACGTCATATGTACGTATTTATACGATAAGACTTTTTACGGCAAACCTTGAGAATTATAAAAAAATATCAAAGGGATAACGTCACGTACACCATAATATATATTAACTATCACAGATATACAATTTGAAATATTAAAAACAATAAAATATACCAGTGACAAATAAAAATTTTGAAATAATTAGAATTTAAAAAAATAATAATATTTCTTATTCTTTAGTTATTAGTTGTTATTAGTTAATAAATATATTTTAGGTTACAAAACTATACATTTTTTCTATATAAAATATAGACGATAAACTTTCTAACTCGAATTAAATTTATCATACATTAAACGTAACAGCAGTTGTACTAATTTAAAAATAAATCAATATGAAAAATTTAATCATGAATAGAGTAAATGCATCATAATACTCATAAAGCATATTATAATATCATATGAAAAAAAAACTGTTAGTATTTTAAATTGAATTATTTTTCATCTAAAATACATAATATTCCATTAAAAAAAAAATGCCTCTTTTAAATGAATTAAAGTTTACAAATCTTTGAGATAATAAAGTTGAATATTTCAAATGATAATTCTTACAGTTTTATTGAAATTTACCTTTTACATAATTAACATAATATTTAAGACATATCTGTTTAAAAATAGAATTTGATTTGTATGTGTTAAATAAATTAATCAAAAAATATAATAATAATCCGACAATAAGGTTTGGATAACATTAACTACCCATTTTCCTTAATCAATAGTGTTATAAATGTGCAAAATTTCATAATGGTTTACATTACATTGCTTTGAATATCAAACTTACATTATATTTACATATAAATAAATATTATACACATAATATTTGACTACAATTTAAAAATATATTTTTATATTTAAAAAAAAATGTTATTTTGCGTTTTTATAATAATAGCTATACAAATGTTATTGTACTGATATTATTACTGATACATTGATACTTTGAGTCCTTGACATGTATGTTATTCCAGTTTGATTTGTGTTTGAAAGTCTTTCTATGTATATAGTTTCAAATATTAACTATATAACGTAGATTTATATTTTAAAATCATATTTCAATTGTTTTTATGAACAAATGTATTCCACAATCAGTTTATTGTACAGTACTTATCAATGGAATTATCATTCCCTAAAAATCTAACGACTTGCAATAAAATAAAACTGCATAGAAAATGATTAAATACTATTATTATATGAACATGGAAATAAATCGTATATTAAATACATTTACGAACTATTGACAGTTTAAAATAGTATTCTATTCGTTTTACAGTCACTTATTGTATTAAGTATGTTCCTAAGTTTGAACATTTAAAAAAAAAACCTTTTTACCATTTTAAAAAGTTGTATAAAAAGTTATATAGCTGAATCTCTGCTTACAAATCAAAGTAATAATAAAAATTTTAGCTTAAAATACAGTACATTATGATATTATTTTTTAATAAAAACACATAGTAGATTGTTAAAAAATATAGTAAGCAACATTATATAAGATAACTTTTTAATTCAATTTTATTGACTTTTTTATAAACATGTTAACCAGACATAATACATTATATTAAAAACATATACCTCTATTAAAACACATCTGTTTTTATAAAAAAACATCAGATTCATTTACCCACGTTTAATTTTGTCTATTAGACACTAGCCAAAGAACAATAACGAATTAAAATCCGAAGTAGTTAAGATTTCTATAAGCACTTGTATGGAAAATTTAAGACTGTTGTTATTTGAAATTTTAACGTTAAGCGAATAATTTGACATAATCAATGGCGTAAATAATTACTTACTTCGCCGGTAAAATATACGAAATCAAGTTGAGTGAATGAAATCGCTATGTTAAATTCATTACCATTATGCGTGTTTAATTAAGAATCGAACGTTTTGGATCGCTAGTTGTATTAATAAGTAACGATGAATGGACTCGATGCAAATACGTATATACACACACCCTCAAACGTTTATTAGCTGGAATATTAATATAGTGATATTTCTCTATAAACTAAGAAGGTGATGTACTAGTATCTATGTCACTGCTCATAATTTAAAAAGGCCAAGTGTACTGCAGTACGTTGTGTAAATCTTTCCTCGGACGCTGTGGTATTACAAGGAGATGAAAGCTTAGAACCTTTTGTCAGAGATTTTACCCTCTCAATCCAAAACAAAATTTTTAAACGAAATATTGTTATTCTAATGTAAATAAATCCATATTATTAGTAATCAATGTTAAGAAGCCGGTAAGATAGTATAAATGAATGAATAGAATTTTGGATAATTTATTTATATTATATAATTGGCGTTGGTATATGGCTCACGATAAAGTTAAACACATAAAAGCACAACGCTTAATCGCTGTAAAACCAATACATTCTAAACTTCGCTTGAAATCTATAACGTCTGATTGTATTTCAAGAGGGAGGGGTGAACCTCCTCTTAACTAAACTTCACCAACCTAATCTATAGTAATATTCATTTTTTATTTTCAGTTAAATTTATTAGTGTTAGACTATTATATATATGATTATAAATACATACAAAATCTAAGGCAAAACTTCCGAAGGAGGGGAGACGATTCACCCAACACGTCCTTCTCTAATACTTCACTGGTATATAATACAGCCTCTGTGGTACTAATATTGTACACTCAAGCGATAGTTAAATAAACAGTATACTATATACTATTATACCAAATACAATAAACGTTTATATACAGCTCATCTTTGATTGTGCAAAAACAAATAAGTTCGACGTGCTTGTTGACTTAGTGACGTATCCTTTGAGTGCAACGCACAAGTCGTTTCGCATTAATTTTTATACCAGCTATTATGGTCGTTTTTAATGAATTTTTTTTTTTTTTTTGTTAGTTAAGTTGGTATATGAAATATGTGTGTAAATTAGTTCAAGTACAGAAAATTATTATTTATTTTTATCAGAATTAACGGAATGGAATTCTATAAAAAATATTGTTTTATTACATTATATTATCGTTCAATTAAAACAATTATTTCTTTTTCTCTTTCAAAAACTATACTTTAATACTATATTGAAAATCTAAAATATTTTTTTTTAAATGCGTCGTGCATTTGTCATTAATTAATGGATTTTCTGAAAATTTAAAATAGATTCTATCGTTTTTATATTTTACATTGGTGAAGAATCTATTTTCATCAAGGTATTTTTCTATTTCGATTGAAGTATTTAAGTATTATGTACGACATTGAATATTGTAATTTTATTACACAAATATCTTGTCAAACATAATATTTCATTCTGTAAATATGCGGCAAATCCACCATAAGATAAAAAATAAATAAATAATGTCTATTCAAATTATTTTCTTTTGTTATCATTAATGAAATTTTTCA